CTGGCTTTGTTCCTGGAGATCAGGCCCAGCCACTCCCCTTTCTACATACTGGCCTTTTTTTTTTCTTTCCTGGACACATTTCAAGAATTCTACCCCCCTCAAAGCCTTGTCTATCCCAATTAATATTGAGGAAGCTGAACTTGCCTTCTGTTATCCTGTGACTTTTACACTTCTCTGAATTCCACTGACCCATCTACCCTTCTGTCCCTCCCTGCCTGAGAGTTTATGATGCTCTCTTGCGCAGACCAGGGACCTAGCGGTTCAAGTACACAGTTCCTTGACAATGGCACCACAGGTAGACAAGGTGGCGAGGAAGGCGTTTGGCATTGCTTACCTTCATTGGTCAGAGCATTGAGTATGGGTGTTGGGATGTCATGTTGTGGCTGTACAGGACATTGCTGAGGCAACTTTTTCATACCACATTCAATTCTGGTCTCCCTGCTAAAGGAAAGATGTTATTAAACTGGAAAGGGTGCAAAACAGATTTACAAGAATGTTACCAAGACTGGAAGGTTTGAGTTCTGGGAAGCTGGAACTTTTTTCACTGGCATGTTGGAGGATGAGATGTGACCTTAGAGGTTTATAAAATCATGAGGGGCATAGACAAGGTGAATAGCCAGCCTTTTCCCTTAAGGGAGTCCAAAACTATAGGCCATGGGTTTAAGGGGAGAAGGGAAAGACTTAAAAGGGACCTGAGGGGCAACTTGTTTACAGAGGGTGGTGCGTGTATGGAATTAGATGCTAGAGGCAGTTACAGTTACAACACTTAAAAATATTTGGACAAGAATATGGATAGGAAAGGCTTAGAGGGATATGGGCCAAATGCAGGCAAATGGGACTAATTCAGTTTAGGAAACCTGGTCAATATGATGAATTGAACTGAAGGGTCCACTTTTCTACTGTACGACTGACTTCCTGTAATTAAGGAACCAGCAAAGATATCATCCCTGCTTTTTGCAGTAATTGACTCCCTGATCAATGTAGTAACACCCCTCCCTGCCTTGCTTGAAGATTCTGTACCACAGAATATTGAGCTGTTCGTCCTGCCCCTCTTCAGCCATGTCTCTGTAGTGGCAATGATACCATATTCCTAGGTGTTAAACAGTACTCTCAAATCTTCTCCCTTACTTGCAAGACTCCTTGTATTAAAATAAATGCTACCAAGCCTTGTTCCCTTCACCTTGACTTGACTATGTATACTCTACCTTCCAGACTGACTTTGGGTTTTCTATATTTATACATCACCTTGCTGAGCTGCCTGTCCTTCCATGTTGCTGCAGATTGTTTGATGTGTGTGCGACAGTGAGAGCGGACAGGGAAACTAAAGTCACTTTGGTGTTTGAGCATGTTGACCAGGATCTGAAAACATATCTGGAGAAAGCCCCGTTACCTGGCCTACCAGCTGAGACTATCAAGGTAAAGCACAAAACAGTCTGTTTGAGGCAGTCCTACTGTCTCTTTAACCTTTTTTCTTTCTGCAACGTACTAGCAAAGAGGGGGTGATGGATGAGGCTATTGTGATGTTCACTGAGCCACAGTTGGGACAGGTGACTTCAACAAACAAATACTGTTGAGATTTCAGGTGATATCAAAGTACACTCCCTGGAAGCAATTCTGCTTGAATTAGAAGTGACTTGAAGTGAATGTCCAGTTCTCCTTCTGTAAAGAAGAAAACTGAAATATGAACAGAAATATCGATCTTTTTGCTATGCACATCCAGTCAGGATCAGTGGCGAGTAAAGATTGGTTTTTGGTCCAGTGATACCTGTGTTTTATAATTCTTATCCTTCAGTTTGTATTGCTCCATCCCCTGCCCCCTCGCATTCTCTGTAATCCCCTGCGGCTCCCACATCCCTTTAGATGTCTCTGCATACCTCCATTCTGGCCTCTTCCCAGGTTTCCATCACTCCCTACTGATGGCTGTGCCTTCAGCTACTTGGGTGTGCTCTTGCACCTTCCCTTTTTAACTGCTCCTTAAAACCAACCTCTGTCTGTTTTTGGTCACCTGTTCCTAATGTCTCCTTGTGGTTCCTTTTTTTTTCAAATTTATTATGCTTGATAATCACTCTGCCTTGTGAAGCACCTCCATGGGTTTTTTTAATATGTCAAAGGTGCTGTATAAGAACAAGTATTTTGTGACCTTTTTGGCCACTGACCTGATTTTTTTTTTAGTCTAACATTCCTCCTCCCCCTCCCTCCCCACCCAGGAAAACCAAAAAAAAATTAAAAAGCAAGCTCCACTGGGTAGCAGGGAAAGAGCAGCATGGATCATGTCTGTACACAATTTTGAGCGCAGAAGTCTGGTACATGGGCAGTTTAGGAGAGAAGTTCTTGTATTCTTCGAATCATCTTTCTCTGTGAAAATCCCAAACTACCAGATTGGGTGACCAAGTATAGACTTGTTTTCACTGCAGAGCAGAGTTAAAACACCCATCAGTGACTCAGTCGGTGGAGTGTTAGATAACCTGGTTGGGGGCAGGAGGTTGCAGTCAGCCCTTGCGTGCAAACTGTCCTAATGGAGTTCTTTTGTTCTCATTTTGTGGACAGGATCTGATGAATCAGTTGCTGAATGGCTTGGCATTCCTTCATTCTCACAGTGTGGTGCACCGGGACCTTAAGCCAGAGAACATCTTGGTGACCAGCCGGGGACAAGTGAAACTGGCTGACTTTGGCTTGGCTCGTATCTACAGCTGCCAGATGGCCCTCACTCCAGTGGTAAGCACAAGGCTGTAGTTGTAGGCCTCCATAAAGAGGCTAGCTTTGTGGCAAGGGATGAATGGACACTGAGGCATTCAGATCAAGAAAGCCACCAATTCGATTGCTCCCCCTGGGCTAGGTGACCTGGTATTGGTGACAGTGGGTTGCTGTATGTGGCAACAACTTGGTGTAAGGTACTGTTCAGGCATCTCTTGTCCATGGAGCCGGAGGCTGCTCATCCCCTCAAGCCTGTTCTGTGATTCAGTCTGATCAAAACTGTGACCCCCATTTGGGATTCAGTTGGATAGCTCCTTTGAAGGACACTGGCCCCCCACTTCAGTGCTATATCACTCTGATTCTAAATCCATTTATCTGCCACTTATCCATATTCCATTCACACCCTTGCCTAACTTTTGAAATATCAAATTTCCATCTTAATCTTCAATTCACCCTGAGCTTCTATAGCCTTTTTGAGGAGCGGGTCAGGGAGCAAAGATTAGAAACTTATTGAATTGAGAATCCTGAATGACCCCATACGTTTTATTGTTACTTTACACTTGATCGTAATCTGATTTATTTAACTCTTCAGGTGGTGACCCTGTGGTACCGTGCCCCAGAGGTACTGTTGCAGGCAACATACGCCACACCTGTTGACATGTGGAGTACAGGCTGTATCTTTGCTGAGATGTTTCGACGAAGGTCAGTACTGAACAGAAATCCATTAACTCAAATGATACGACCAATGGCTACAAGCACAGACTGTTGTAAATTGTCTAGCTGAGCACTGCAGATTAATTTTGCTTTTTTATTTACGTTTTTGTTTATTGACTTGGTTCAAAAATGGGGATTTTAACTGACCTGTCCTGACACTGTGATCTGGTGTTCAGTTTGGAATAGTTCGTTCAGGATTGCAAGGACTTATCACCGTATGGATTTTATTTTAACAAAAAAAAATTGGCATTCTGTTAACACTGGAGTCAGCATGTTTAGTTTGTAACTTACTCAAGTCTTCAGTTGTCTGGCATCTCTCACCAGTAGTACCTGATTGTGTTGCCACCAGAGATCCGAGTATATTGCAGCTGTCTCTCCTGGCAAACAAATGTTGTTGTCTTGCGAGTATTATTAGAGGGCTGTGGAACTCCATATTCCTGATTTTAGCTTTCATAATTTAGACCATATCTCCCTTCCTCCTTCTGCCTCTGCAAACTCGCATCTCCAGTCTTTGTTACACAGATCAGACAAGCCCAGGTTTGATTTCTTGCTCTGTTAAGGTCAAAGGTAGCCATGATGTGGAGGTGCCAGTGTTGGACTGGGATGGATAAAGTCAGAAATCACACTACCCCAGGTTATAGCCCAACAGGTTTATTTGAAAACACAAGCTTTCGGAGTGCAGCCCCTTTGTCAGGTGAAGTGAGAGAGAAGCCCATAGAATACAGAATTTATGGGCAGAGAGATCAAAAGATCATACAAGTGGTGTGAGTGGAGTGTCAAAGAAGTCCCTGCAGGTGATCCAAAGTATTGTTAGTCAGCTGCTGACACTGAACAAGTGAAGGGATGACCTATGATCCGATTTAAACGAGGCAGAGATAATTACGGAAAATTTGAAAAAATGAGGTGGTGCTGGAGACATTCCAAATGACTGGAATAACATGATGGGTATAAGGATCTAACCCATGTCACCAGATGATGGTGACCAGAACAGGACAGTAAGGAAGATTTCATAGCTAGTGAACAGTGCAGTGGAGTCACATGTAGCACAACGTGAAGCCAAGATCCCAGTTGAGGCCGTCTTCATGGGTACAGACCTTGGCTATCAGCTTCTGCTCGGCGATTCTGCATTGTTGTGTATCTTGAAGGCTGCCTTGGAGGATGCTTGCCTGAAGATTGGAAGCTGAAATGTCCTTGACTGCTGAAGTGTTTTCCCCCACTGGGAGGTAACATCCCTGTCTGGCTTTTTTTTAAAAATTATTTTTAAATTTTATTTATTTTATTTTTTACTGTGCGGTGTCCATTCATCCATTGTCGTAGCGTCTGCATGGTCTTGCCAACATACCATGCCTGAGGGCATCCTTGCCTGCAGCGTATGAGGTAGACCGCATTGGCCAAGTCACATGAGTACCTGCTGTGCACGTGGTGGGTGGTGTTCCCACGTGTGATGGTAGTGTCCATATCGAAGATCTGACATGTCTTTCAGAGCTGGCCATGGCAGGGTTGTGTGGTGTTATGATAGATGTTGTTCTGAAGGCTGGGTAGTTTGCTGCGAAACGATGGTCTGTTTAAAGATTTGGCAGTTGTTTTGAAGGTGAGAAGTGGAGGCGTAGGGATGATCTTGGTTAGGTGCTTGTCGTCATCGATGATGTTGAAGGCTGCAAAGAGCATGGTGTAGTCTCTCTGCTCTGGGGAAGTACTGGACGATCAAGGGTACTCTATCGGTCATGGCACATCAGAACTGGCAGTTGATGAGTTGAGCATCATATCCTGTTCTTATGGAGGGTATCCTTCAAAATCTTCAGGTGTCCATCGTTTTCCTCCTCACTTTGAGCAGATCCTGTGTATGTGCAGGGCTTGTCCGTAGGGGTTGGCTTCTTTATGTTTAGAGTGGAACATAGAGAAGTGCAGCATCATGAGGTTATTGCTGGGCTTGCAGTAGAGGTGAGGTACTGAGGTGTCCATCCTTGATGGAGACGCGTGTATCTGAGAATGAGACACATTCTGAAGAGTAGTTAATGGTAAGTCTCGTGGGATGAAACTTGTTGATATTGCTACGTAATCATTTCACTTCTTCCTCACCATGAGTCCAAAGGAAGAAAATGGCATTGATTTTTGTATCTGGTGTGTAGCGTTGGTTGGAGGTCCTGTGCGGCAAAGTAGTCTTGCTCAAACTCCTGCATGAAAATGTTGGGGTATTAGGGTGCAAGTTTGGTCCCCATGGCTGTTCCGTGTGCCTGGATGAAGAACTGGTTGTCCAAGGTGAAGACATTGTAATCGAGGATGAAGTGGATGAGTTGTAGGATGGTGTCTGGAAATTGGCAGTTGTTGGTGTTGAGTATTGAGGCTGTTGCGGTGATGCTGGTGTAGAGTGCTGAGATGTCCATTGTGACAAGGAATGTTCCTGGTTTGACTGGTCCGTGGGTGCTGAGTTTGGTTGTTTTTTGAAAACAAAAAAAAACTGTAGTGTTGTGACAGAACCTGGGGTTCCCTGTACAATGGGTTTTAAGATGCCCCTTGACATAGCCAGAGAGGTTCTCACACAGGGTCCCGTTGCCTGATACGATGGGACATCCAGGTGTGTGTTAGCTTTGTGTATCTTCAGAAGGATATGACTGAGAGTATTCTTCATTGTGCAGTACTTCCCCAGACTATGCCATGTTCTTTGCAGATGTCAACATGTCATCAGTGACGACAAGCATCTCACCATCTTTGCCTTCAAGCAACTGCCAAATCTTTTAAACAGACCATCGTTCAAAGCAAACTACCCAGCCTTCAGGAGACAATCTACCACAACACCCCACAACCCTGCCACAGCAAACTCTGCAAGACCTGTCAGATCGTTGACCTGGACACTACCATCACACGTGGGAACACCACCCACCACATGAACAGCAGATACGCATGTGACTCGGCCAGTGTTGCCTACCTCATACGCTGCAGGCAAGGATGCCCCGAGGCTTGGTATATCGGCGAGACCATGTAGATGCTATGACAACAGATGAATGGACATCACACTACAGTTGCAGACAGGGATGCCCCCTCCCAGTGGGGGAACACTTCAGCGGTTGAGGACATTTGGCTTCCAGTCTTCAGGATGGTCTTTTGAGATCCACAACAACAGAATCCCCGAGCAGAAGCTGATAGCCAAGTCCCATACCCATGAAGACGGCCTCAACCGTGATCTTGGGTTCATGTGCTATGTGGCCCCACCACGCTGCTCCCTAGCTGTATAATCTTCCTTACTGTTCTGTTTTTGTCACCGTCACCTGGATAAATTGTTTTGATCTCTCTCTACCTTTTAATTAGTTTGGATTACTTACTACTTTGGTTAGACCCTCGGATGCCACTCCTGCACCCATCATCTTATTCCAGTCATTTGGTTTGTTTGTCTCCAGCACCACCATTTTTTTTAATTTTGTAATTATCTCTGCCTAATTTACTTGGATTGTAGATCATCCCTTCCCTTGTTAGTCAGCTGTTGACACTTAACTCACATGCTGTCTAACACTTTTTGGATCACCTGCAGGGACTTCTTTGACACTCCACTCATACCATTTGTATGATCTTTTGATCTCTCTGCCCATGAATTATGTGTCTGTGCGCTTCTCTCTCTCTTCACCTGACGAAGGGGCTGTGCTTTGAAAGCTTGTGATTTCAAATAAACCTGTTGGACTATAACCTGGTGTTGTGTGATTTCTGACAATGTCAAAGGGGGCGTTATTCCCCTTCTCACATGCCCATTGTCCCTCGGGTGGGAATGGGGAGAAATCGGTCAGCTTCTTAGATCGTGTTACTAAACAGTGCCTCCTCCCTGGAGACTAATATGTGGGTGGTAGCCCTTCAATAGCCAGCCAGCACCTTGTGCTTGATGATTGGTGATTTGTAATTTGGGTAGCTGTGGACTTCTGCCCCTAGGAAGGGGGCAGATGAGGGCGAGAGAGTTGGAGGGGATAGCAACAAGATAAGGGATTTGCATTTAAAGCCAGGTTGAATTCCATTCTGTACTTTTGGTCTGTATCTCAATCAAGCAACTGTCTAACCCCTTACTGGAAGACTCCAAATCATGTATACTGGAGGGTTGCAATTTTCTGAGGATGTTTATGTTTTGTGTTTGAAGCTTGCAGGAAACTTTTGGAAGTGAGGTAAGTGCTGTAACTTTTCATTTTTTTTTTTTAAGCATTGTTTTTGAACATGTTGCTTGGGGTTGAACTAAGGAAACTAACAATTAATCCATATGGGGTGCACACCTGTGCTGCACACATGGACCAATGTTTGTCAAGTGGTGCAATCCATCTATTTTCCTCCTTAGCCTGGCTAGAAAGGAGCCACACTCCACATCAAACCTAGTATGACTCCAAAGTGCTACTTGCAGAGTCTGTGTTTTTAGTGGAGGTGGAGGAGGAATCTTACTAATTCTGTTGCTGCCCCCCAGAAATACTCCTAGCTCTTCTTTATAAGAGCATATTTTTCATTGGTCCTTGGGGGCAGATCCACAGATGTGACTTGAGTTCAGGTATCAGCATGTCTTCTGTTTCTGCCGCCTCATTTTGTCTTGTCACTTTGGTTTTGATGACTTTGTCTGAATTTTAAAACTTTGTAGAAAACCGGTTCTGAAGAAGGGTCACTGGACCTGAAATGTTAACTGATTTCTCTCCACAGATGCTGCCAGATTAGCTGAGATTTTCCCCTCCGTTTCTAGTTTTGTTTAAAACTTTTTTGTCGTTCTAATCCTTCAATACAGTCTTGGAATATAGAGTCTCTTACTTGGTGAAATTTGGTGTGGTGTTGGCTTAAAAATGAAGTTTTGGTCATTAGAGCACATTTTGTCCCAGATTATTTCAGGGTAATGCTTTGATCCTGTCTGCAACCTTACTTAATGGAACCCAGTTTTGAGACTGTGTGTTTAAAAATTTATCTGGAAATTCAAAGAACCCCCAGTAATGAAAGTTTTAAAAGTATTTGGCTTCTGTAGTTGACTTTGAAAAGGAACTATTGTAGGAGGAGTATAATGGTGTCAGACATGCTGGGTGGCCTTTCTGACTCCTGATGGAATGTCTGCAAGAGCCACAGAGAAAATCTGCCTTGGGCTTCGCCATGACAGCCGATGAAGGGTGGCCTTCAGTTTGTGCTGGTTTTGAAACTAATGTTGCAAATGTCATTTGTATGTTTTGAGCCTTATTGTGTACAAGCCAAGAGTCTCAGTTGAAACCTGCGTGACTTGCTGAATTCTAGTGTATTTCCCCTTAACCAGGGCAGCAGCTGGGTCCCTACATCTTGGCCTCATTTCAGGGAATTTTTCTTTTCTGTTAAAGGAACTGCATACTGTAGTATGTGTGTGATGTGTTTTTGTAAAAACCTTGTTTAGCTACTGCTGTTAAGTCAATTGAATTGACTAATACTTCTTTTTTTTAAGAAGTTGATTCTATTTATTCAAGTTCTCTGACTGCATGCTGTCTAGCTTTTCATAAATTGTGTTTACTGCAACATGTGTTTGCTTGATGTTCAGGCTCCTTTTTTTTTCTCTTCTCTTGGCTTCAACACTGCTATAATTGAAACCTCCCAAGAGAAACATTTACTCTACTGGCATGAAGTCCTTTTCTGTTTTCCTCACCATCCTGAGTTTCTTTTAACTTATTAAAATGAGGTGTGAATGTTGCTGGTAAGCCCAGCACACTTTTTGCCCTCTAAGGTGGCAGTGAGCTACCACCTTGAACTGCTGCAGTCTGTGTGGTGTACGGAGCAGTGGAATTTTGACCCAGTGAAAGAATGGTAATATGGTACAAAGTCTCGATGGTGTGTAACTTTGGGGAGATCCAAATGATAGATGCAAGTACTGGTTACTCTTGGGTGGTGGAGGTGTTGTTGAAAGAACCTTGGCAAATTCTGTGGTGTATCTCGTACATCTGTAACCACCAACCTGAGATGCTTCCACTGCCTGTTTGCTTGGGGTCCTCGGGACCTAGCAGAGTGGAATGTTGCATAGGATTCAAAAGCAAATTTCCCATAATATCCTGATGTGCTCTTGGTGAATTCTAGCGATGTCCCACTGTGCGATATGCACGGTCATTCTGGTTTTTTTTTTATTTCTTTTGAATTGGAAAGTTTTGCGGGTTTGCATCTTGCTGCAGGTACTCATTCACAAAAATCCTGGCTGACACCCCAATGCCGGCTGAGGGAATGCTGTCTTTTATCTTTTTGGGTGTGATATTAAAATAGGGCTCTATTAGCTGCTTCTAGCGAATGAAAAGCATTTTGAGCCAGGGGAGTTATCCCAATGTCTCCACCAATATTTTTATTCGTGAATTAAAGTTGTTTGAAACACAAAGCACTTATCTAGTCTTTATCACTGTGGGAGCTTGCTGTGCGCAAATTGGCTGTGTTTGCTGCATTGCAACAATTACAAGACCTCAAGTACAATTGCTGTAAAGTGCTTTGGGGCAACCTGCACTTGTGAAAGGCGCTAAATAAATGCAAGTTTTTTTATCTCTAACTCCTAAAGATGGTTCACTACTTGGGGTCTTCATACTGCAAATGGAGATATGTTGAACCGTTAGGGTTGTACTGTTCAAATGAAGTGTAACTGACAAACTGTCTTTTTACAGGCCTCTGTTTTGTGGGAAATCGGAACTTGACCAACTAGGAAAGATTATTGAGTAAGTGTATTTGATGTGTACTAGGTTGGGGGGTGGGGTGGTGGGGTCTCCAATTTCCAGTCGGTGGACGGAGAGGTGGGGCCCTAAAACCAGGCTGAGGTTCACCTGGGAGGTGGGTACAGGTGGAGGGAGGTTTGGGGGCCTGCGTTCATAGTGCAACCCAAGTAAGTGCTCTGGGGCGGATAGCAGGAGATTCTCTCTCTGAATACAGTACAGTAGTACCAACCTGTTGTTATCACATGCGCAAAATTGGCTGTCGCATTTCCTATATTGCAACAAAAACTAGAATTCAAATGCTTTTAAAGTTTTTAAAAGTCCTGAGGTTGCAAAAGACACTATATAAATGCAAGTTGTTTTTTTTTTTGTCTTGGCTGACTTTCCATTGGCTGTTTTGCACCTCATTGCTTGCTGGCTGTGATTGTTGAAAAGTAACTGCTGGCATCTGAGAAAGCTGGTGCACCGCATTGGCTAAAGGCGCAAATCTTATAATAAAATTGACTGACTCTTCAGGTTGTTCCTGGTTTTAGCTTGGCTGTTCTACACTGGTAATTGAGAATGGGAACTTCTCTGCTTTCAGCATGACTGGGCTCCCGGCAGAGGAAGATTGGCCAGAAGATGTGACGCTTCCACGAAGCGCATTCCCCAACCGTCCTCCGCAGTTGGTCAAGTCCTATGTACCTGAAATCGATGATTTGGGAGCAGAGCTGCTATTGGTGAGATGGACTCTTGGGCAGAATATCCACAAACTCTCAATTTTTTAAGAATGGAATGCTAGGATTTGAAGAGTAGGAGTTCAGAGGACAGTTAATCTTGTCACATTTTTTGAGGCAGGAATGAATACTCAGCTAATGTAGCTGGATTCTGACTCCCAGGAAACAGATCACGGGAGGGTAGACCCTGTTGACCTGAGCTTTATAATCAGATGGACTTTAAGGTGATTTTTGGGATTTAAATATTGTTGAGTTTGTGGCATCTGCCAGTCTGTGTAGTTGAGGGTGGAGGGGCTGTTGACAACCAAGCCCCTGTCACTCTCTCTCTCTCTTTTTTTGACACTAGGCAGTTCAAGCTGATTTTTGTCTTTCCGCTCCCTGGGTACCGTACAGCATCTCTTTGCAGAGATTTACTTGAGCTCTGGGAAGCAGTGGAGTG